GAGAGGGAACACAAGCAGGGGGAGTGGGAGAGGGAGAAGCAGGCTTCCCGCTGAGCAGGGAGCCCGATGCGGGGCTCGATCCCAGGACCCTGAGATCACGACCTGAGCCAAAGGCAGACGCTTAACGACTGAGCCACCCAGGCGCCCCACATCGTTTTTTTAATTTACTCAAACGCACACATAAAAACAGAAAGAACAATTACACCCGAAACCAAAAACTCATGGCCAACATTTACAACAAAACTAGGTGGTAAAGTATCCCCTCAAACACGAAAACCTATGCAGGTGGAGACAAACACCAACAGCTGCAAGTCCAGCAAATCAGCATGAAGAAACAGAAAGTAACACAGGGGCAAAGGATCAATGGTCAAAAAAAGAAACACACCAGACATTATACGCATAGTCCTACAAGAACTCAGCACCACCTATAGTCTTGTCAAAAGAATCAAAGCTGAATCTGATCACACCTCTGGAGCCAGCAGCCAATTTCCAGGAAATAAAGAGGCTAGATGAACAGCATGAGTACAATCACCAAAACCCCAGCCATGAGAAACTAGACAGGTCAAATGGCCCAGGTTTCTCCACAGGTAAATTTAAAAAAAAAAAAAAGCAAGGGGAAGAGGGGAAACCTGTAAAGTAAGAGACTTAATGGAAATACATTTCTTTAAATGGGGAAGATGAGGCTTTACCATCTAAGAATGCCCACTTGGGCGGAAAAAGTATAAAGAAACATAAGCAAGTGATTAAGTCAGGATATGGGTTAGTCTTAGAGGAAAGGAGGAGGCTATGATTGAGACAAGACACAGAGAGCTGCTGCTAGGGTGACTGGCAAAGCTCTATTTCTCTACCTGGGTGGTAGTTACAAGGGTATTTGCCTTATAATAATTTACTAAAATATTTGCTTGTGAGGTTTTCTTGTATCTATGGTGTATTTTACAATCAAAAAGTTAAAAAAAGAGGGATGCCTGGGTGGCTCAGTCAGTTAAGCGTCTGCCTTTGGCTCAGGTCATGATCCCAGGGTCCTGGGACTGAGTCCCACATCAGGCTCCTTGGTTGGCACGGAACCTTCTTCCCTCTGCCTGCCCCTCCCCCTGCTTGTGCGCACGCACACGCTCTCTCTCTGACAAATAAATGAAATCTTAAAAAGAAAAGTTAAAAAAGAAAAAAGAAACCTGCTTTTGTCATCCCTGTCCTTGACTTCAGACTTGCCACCATACTTTTATTTTTATTTTCAACCCTCAGAAAAGACTTGCAACCCTCACCTTGGTCACAATACATCAATAAATCAGGGTTATTGACCACAATAAAGGTTTCCCCATCTTTACTATGTGGCCGATGATAGCGGTAGTGCACAGGCAAAAAAGCTTGGAAACAGTCAATGCACTGTGAATCTTGTCTGGCATAAATTAGAACTTCGGATTCCTTGGACAAATAATTGGGAGCTTCTATATTAAAGTCTTCTGAAACCATCACTGCCTGTCAAAAAGAAAACAAATATTAATCCAGAAGAAGAAATGAATGGGGAGGATTAATAAATAAAGCCACAAGATTGCTATGCAGATGAACAGAAATGTCAAATTTGAGTCAAACTCACTCCCCTTATAGATAATTTCCATTTCATTCCATCCTCAATTTTAAATAGAAAATACAGATGTGATCTATGTTTAATAAAAGTTTGTTTACTAAAAGTAAACTGAGGAAATTTTACTAATAAAAATTATGTATTTGTAATATCCTTATCAACCTTTGTTTAGGTGACAAAAGAGGTACTAAGAAAAGAGAAATTTTGTGAATACAGCATTATTTAATAAATATGAAAACTATGACAAAAACAGTTAACCCAGTATTGGATTGAAATGATTGGTATCATTCTGGTAATTTCCTGTTCTTGAGAGAAGCAAGTAAGATGGCAGTGAGTAAGATAGAGCACTGTGGTCAGGAAGTCAAAGCAAAGGTCAGCACTCTTCCCATATTAGGTATAAAAAGTTAAAAGAAAAATAGTAAATGATTCTTTAAAAAAATAATATGGTAAAAACCATTTAAAACAGGTATTCTAGAGGCGCCTGGGTGGCTCAGTCAGTTGGGCATCTGCCTTCGGCTCAGGTCATGATCCTGGGGTCTTGGGATCCAGCCCCAAAGACAGGTTCCCTGCTCAGCGGGGAGTCTGCTTATCCCTCTCCCTCTGCCCCTCCCCCCACGCTTGTGCTTTCGCTCACTCTCTCTCAAATGAAGAAATAAAAAATCTTAAAAAAAAAAAAGATATTCTACTCCAAAAGTAAAAATGCATATGTGGCAGAAAATAGTCCTAAATTATAAATGTGTATATTATATATATATATACAATATACACACATATATATATAATCCATCTACACGTATTTATGTTTGAGGCTCCATATATATATATATCCATCCACACATATTTATGTATAAACATACATATACACATTCACACTCACATATACTTATACATACGTATATAGGCACTATATAATCTATGAGTCTGTATGTGAGTATGTATACACACACAACTTGTCTCTAGATTCTCTATGTGAAGTCCTGACATAGCTCCAAGAAAAAAAACAGAATTAACATCTTCCCGTCATGGCAAGCAAACATCCTAATTCTCTTGTTTGACGGTGACACCAAGTGCTGTATTTTTTTCATATTTTTCCTTCTCTGTTAATCACAGGAATAAAAAGAATTCATTGGCAAAGGCCAAGTAGTTATATAATCTTATGAGTCATAATGAACTTTAAAGGTGATCAAATTAAACCACTGTCCCAATGAGGGCATTCATTGTTCAGGATCCAGCCACTGCTTGAATACACTCAAGGACTAAAAGGGAGGTTATTACATTGAATCATATCATTTTATCTTCTGTTAAAAGGTTATTCCTTTTTTTTTTTTAGATTTATTTATTTGACAGAGAGAGAGCAAGAGCGTGGGGAGGAGGGGCAGAGGGAGAGGGAGAGAGTCTTAAGCAGGCTCAGTGCTGAGTGCAGAGCCCAACACAGGGCTTGATCCCACAACACGGAGATCACGACCTGAGCCGACACCCAAGAGTCAGATGCTCAACCTACTGCGTGACCCAGGGACCCCTATTCCTTTTTTATAAGTAGAAATCTAATGCTCTGGCCTTTAACATTCACAACTGTCCTTGCTTACAGTATCTACAATAAATTTGTTCCTTATTTCACTAAGGGTCACTCAAACATCGCCACTAAGTTTGCTCCTCCTCAGAGAAACAGTCATAGTTCTTGTAGGGGCGCCTGGGTAAACAGCAATAATGTATTATCAAAAAACTGAAATGATGCATAAAAAATTCATCCCAAAAGAGCATATACTTGTTAAAAGACATGGATCTATACCTTTTCACAACAACACTCAACTACACGTCACAAACCACCACAGCTAAGTTAAATGAATTAAGCTATGAAATTGTGCCATACCTGTAACATTTGCCGGATCTTTCTCTGATAAACTATAGCTCTTTCAAAAACAGAAATAAATTCTCCCAATTAAGATACAGTAATTGGTGCCTTTGAACAACTTATACAATCTAAAAATATAAAACCTTTTTCTTTTTTAAAGATTTTATTCATTTACTTGACAGAGAGACACAGCGAGAGAGGGAACACAAGCAGGGGGAGTGGGAGAGGGAGAGGGAGAAGCAGGCTTCCCTGCTGAGCAGGGAGCCCAATGCGGGGCTCAATCCCGGGACCCTGGGATCATGACCTGAGCCAAAGGCAGATGCTTAATGACTGAGCCACCCAGGAGCCCCTAAAAATATAAAACTTTATAAAAATGAAATGTAGAATACTTTTCTGACACTGGGATGTTAATTCTAACAGTACATTTTTTAAAATGTTCTATCTGGCTAAAGGTTCACCAATTTTATCCATCTCAAAGAACCAGCTTTCAGTTTCATTGGTTTTCCCTATTGTGTTTCTATTTTCTAATTCACTGATTTCTGTTTTTACTATTCCCATTCTCCTACTTACTTTGGTTTCATGTGCTCTTCTTTTTGTAATTTAGGGAGGCTTGGCTATCACTAATCTGAGACCTTTCTTCTTTCTAAAATAGGCATTTTAGGACTATAAATTTCCCCCTAAATGCAGCTCTAGCAGCACCCTACTAATTTTAATATATTGTGTTTTCACTTTTATTCAGCTCAAAATACTTTCTCTTTTGATTTCTTCTTTGACCTATGGACTACTTAGAAGTATGTTAATTGGCTCCCAAATGTTTGAGGCTTTTCCAGAAATCCTTCCATTCTTGATATCTACTTTAATTCCTCTGTAGTCAAAGAACACACTTTGTAAAACTTGAATTTGTCTAAGTATATTGAGACTTATTTTATGACCTAGAATATGCTCTATCTTGATAAATGTTCCATGTACACCTAAAAAGAATGTATATTCCACTATTGTTGGGTGGAGTGTTCTATAAATGCCAGATTAGGTCAAGTTGACAGTTTTATTCAAATCTTATATATTCTTACTAATTTTCTGTCTAGTGTATCAATTAATGAGAAAAGGGTACCGAAATCTTCAACTGTAACTGTAGATTTGTCTATTATACCTTACAGTTCTACCAGTTTTTCTTCATGAATTTTGAATCTGTGTTATTAGGTACATAAATGTTTATGGTTATTATTTCCTTCTGATGAGTTTATCCCATTATCAAAATGACTTTCTTTAGCTCTGGTGATAGTCTTTGCTCTGAAATCCACTTCATCTAAAATTAATATAGCCACTTCAGCTTCCTTTTGACCAGTGTGACCATTATATCTTTTCTTTTAAAATTTACTGTTCATTTCTTGTAAGCAACATACAGTTGGTTCTTGCTTTCTTATCCAATCTGATGATCTCTGCCTTTTAATGGGGATATTTAGTCATTTACATTTAATGTGACTATTGATATGGTTGACATTTATCATCTTATTTTCTATATTTAACATCCAATTTTTGTTCCTTTTATGTTCTTTCTCTGCTTTTTGGATTAAATGAATGCTTTTATAATTTCATTATAACTGCTTTGCTGGCATATTAGCTAAAACTCCTTGTGCTTTTTTTAACATTTAATTATTTATTTTTAAGTAGGCTCTAGGCCCAATGTGGGGCTTGAACTCATGACCCTCAGATCAAAAGTCATTTGCCCCATCGCCTGAGCCAGCCAGGCACCCCAAAACTCTTTGTTATTTTTATGGTTACTTTAGGGTTTACAGTAAATATCTTTAATGTAGCACAGTCTACCCTTAAGTGATATTTTTTTATTTTTATTTTTTTAAAGATTTTATTTATTTGACACAGAGAGAGAGAGCACAAGCAGGGGGAGCAGCAGAGGGAGAGGCAGAAGCTGACTCCCTGCTGAGCAAGGAGCCCAATGCAGGGCTCAATCCCAGGACCCTGGGACCATGACCTGAGCCGAAGGCAGATGCTTAACCGACTGAGCCACCCAGGCGCCCCTACCCTTAAGTGATATTAAACTACTTCACATTTAGTGTAACAACCTTACAAAAGTATACTTCCATTTTCTCTTTCCCAACTTTGTGATATTAGTTGTCACGTATTTTATTTTTACATATGGTATAAATGCTATATTATTTTTGTCAATTATCTTATAAATAAAAAATTTAAATAATAAGAGGGAAAAAAGTCTTATATTTACCCATGTAGTTATCATTTCAAGTGCTCTTCTCTCCTTAGTGTAGATATAGATTTTATCTGGTATCATTTTCCTTCCACCTGAAAGACCTCCTATAACATTTTTTATAGTGGAGGTCTATTGGTGATTAATTCTTTCAGATGTCTGAAAAGTCTTTATTTCATTTTCACTTTGAAAGATATTATCACTGCATACAGAATTCAAAATTCACATATTTTTTTCTTTCAATACTTTAAGGATGGTGTTGTACTGTTTTCTTGTTTGCATTATTTTTGACAAGAAACCTGTTTGTTATCTTTTATCTTTGTTCCTTTATATTTTACATGTTTTCCTTTCCCTCTTGACACTTTTAAAATTTTCTCATTCTCTGGCTTAAATCAACAACACAAGAAACAACAGGTGTTGGCAAGGATGTAGAGAAAGGGGAACCCTGTTGCACTGTTGGTGGGAATGCAAACTGGTGTAGACACTCTAGAAAACAGTATGAAGGTTCCTCAAAAAGTCAATGATCCAGCAATAGCACTACTAGGTATTTACCCAAAGAATACAAAAATACTAATTCAAAGGGATACATGCACCCTGATATTTTCAGCAGCATTATCGACAATAGCTAAATTATAGAAACACTGTTAAGTATCCATCGACTGATGAATGGATAAGGAAGATGCAGAGGTGCCTGGCTGGCTCAGTCAGTAGTACAGCATGTGACTCTTGATCTCAGGGTTGTGAGGTTAAGCCCCACATTGGGCAGGGAGCCTACTTAAAAAAAAAAAAATGTAGTATATAAATACAATGAAATATTATTC